ATACTCCTTCTGAACAGCCACTGAATACGTATTTGAGTAAGACAGTGAAGGAAATCCCAAAAAACATTGGAGCTAGGACATAGCCCTGTTTGACACCACTCTTGATTTCAAATTCTTCCAGACATGACTCATTTAACAGCACCATTCCCTGCATACCCACGTAGGACTTGATGATTCTCGGGAGCTTAAGAGGGCAGCCAGTCTTCAGGATTCAGAACAAGCCATCTCTGCTGACAAGATCAAAAGTTTTGGTGAGATCAATAAATGAGATTTCCTGTGTTCACAGCACTTTTCTTGTAGCTGTCTCAGGGAGAATATCATATCTGTCATGGATCTATCAGATCTGAAACCACATTGGGACTCTGTAGACTCTGTCTACAAGGGTCTGCAGTCTTAGCAGGGCAACTTTGGCAAATAGTTTCCCAGTGATGCAAAGTAAGGATATACCATGATAGTTATTGCACTCACTCATATCACCTTTTTTTTTGTACAGAGCGCCAATGCTTGCATCTTTCATATCTTGAGGAACTTCACCTTCTTTCCTTTTTTCAGCTTCCTCTGTGCAAAAATGAAGTTTATTTCCTACCTATGAGGACTTTTTAGCATCTTTAATTTTCCCTGAGCCTGATGAAGGTCATGTGAGCCTGGAAGCTTGACGAAAAAGGGGTTTTTTGGTTTTGTTTTTTTTGGGGGGGTTGCGATTTCTTAGCTGATCTAATAAAAGGTATCATCTCTGAATCAAGAATTCTAGAGTTTTGCATTTCACCTTCTTTCCAACACATACATACATATTAGTTCATGCAGATGAAAGAGGAGGATGGATTTCCCGCACTTAGTAACTTCAGCCGGTATGCAATCTGCACCTGAGGCTTTACCACAAACAAGGTGATCAGTGGCTTTTTCTGCTTTGTCTATGGTAGGTTCATGGTCAAGTGCTGTCAGGGTTGAGAGGTCTTCAAGTGCATCAAGAAGGAAGTCACAGACCACATTTTCACAAGAGTAGAGTTCTGAGTAATGTTCAATCCATTGATCCATCTGCTTATTGCAGTCATTGCTGACTTCACCTGTGGAGGATTTTAAAAGGATGGTCTTCCTTGGAACAGGCCTGAGGGCTTTCCTGATGCCCCTGTACATTGCTTGCATGTTGCCTCATTCAGCAGCTTTTGGATACTTTTGCACAATTGTGGTCAATAATCATTTGCATACCATCTTGCTGTATGTTTGACCTTTTGCTGGATTTCTCAAAGTGCCTGGAAGTTGGTGTGGCTTGGGTCACACTTATATTTAAGGAGAGCTGACTATGTCTTTTCTATGAGTGGGATCATTTCAGATGAGTTCTGATTAAACCAGTCATTTGAGCTGCGATGCAAGATACCACAAGAGTCCAAGGCAGTTTGATAGATGGCTCATTTGAACTGAACCCATTTCTCCTCAGCAGTATTACATGGCTTAAAATATGCTAGTTCCCTAGAGAGTGTTTTAATTAATTAATTGAGATGATGTGTCTTCAGCTTTCAGTTGTGTGGCATTTATTCATAGTAAGGAGAGTTTCTTGCTCTTGTACAAATTTCTTGGAATGCAATTTGACAGTAGTGGTTGAAAGATCAGTATCAGAGTTAGTCACAGAATTCTCATGAGCAAGTGATAATGAGGTCAAGTTGATACCAGTGTCCAGATCATGGGTGGCGCCGAGATACTTTGTGTTGAGGTTTCATGTTGAAGAAAAAAATTGTTATACATAGCTCATTGCATGAACATAACTGAAGCAAATGTCTGTTTTCATTCATTTTGCTGACACGATTGGTGCCCAAACAGTGAGGCCAGGCAGTGTGCTTAGCACCAACCCTTGCATTGAAGTCTCAGAGCAGGAAGATTTTTTTGTTAGGTGAAATACATTGATTATAAGGCACTAAGCTCATAGTAGAAGTAGTCTTTTGTTTTGAATGAAGCAGTGAGAGTGGGAGCATATGCATATAAGAGACTGACAAGACCAGAGGCACTAGTGAGTTGAAGCACCATTAATCTTTCAAAGCCTCTGTTTGAGGGTTCTATTGCAAAAAACAGAGCTTATTTTTGACTGCAAAGCCAACACTACACTCTCTGATTTCTTTGGGTTGTTTCCCACACCAGAAAAAGGTGTAGTTCTTCCCTTTAAGGCATCCTTTCCTGGTAGTCTGGTCTCTTGTACAGTAACAACATCAACATTCAGTCTCAGCTGTTCTGCATCAATGACTGCAGCTTTGCATGTGTCATAAATGGTTTGGAGGTCATCAGATATACCTGTAGTCATTGTATGTACATTGTAGCTTCCAGTCTTTAGGTTTGAAAGGTTTTTCCGTGCATTCTTGGCGTAGATGGTGGTATGTGATAGCAGTGTGCTTTCAAGTTGAATCTTGAAGCTCTAAAAACCCATTAAAGCAGTGGATTAGGGTGAAAAAGACACCTTATTGGCTTGGGACTGTCCAGCTTGAGGTGAGCAGTAGTTTTCTAATGATGCATGATGATCTCTTCAGAGACAGCCCTTGCACCTGGATCTACATAGATTGATCCATGGCTTATGACTGGTATCTGTTGACACCCATTTCTTTCAATACATCACCTTGGGAGCTCCACTCCACATTTTCTGTCCCTTAGCCTTCACCTTTCCCAAGATAATCCATTTTACTCCCTTACTCTGCACCTCTCCCAAGGTAGTCCACAAGGCACTGGTTATGGTAACTGTCATCTTCATCCACCAGCTTTGTCACTGAGAAATAACCTTTTACCACAACCGCCACTGTGATAATCAGAGGACAGCTCTTAATGTCAATAACTGTCCTCCCTTACTAAGTTCAGCCTGCTAGTGAAAGTGGTTGCCCAAGGTGTGGCACATAGAATCATTAGTAAGAGTTGGATGCAAGTGAGGACCAGTAATCCCAAACCACCTTAAGTGTCACCATTTAAGAAACAAAGGTTCTACCCCTCCTCAAACACCCCACGCACCTCTGGCCAGTTACACTGCTAATATAAACCTTACAACATTTTTTAGGTGTACATGGGTATTGTCACTTAATGCAGATCTGGTCTTAAGCCCATACTTAACTTTATGAATGTGTATAGACACAGTTAAATTAATAACATTAGGCATATCTACATGTGCACTTTACTGTGCATTAGACTAAATTAATGTGCAATAAAGCATCACCATTTACATATACATCATAATTACTGTGTAGCAGATTAATGTAAAGCACCATTGGCTAGTACTGACAGGTACTAACCAATGGTGCTTTACGTTAATGGGCCTGAACACCTGTATATATTGAGCAATTTGCTCCTGGTCAGCCCAGGCATTAGGGAGCGACAACTGTTGCAAGGGAGTTGTCCTTGGGCAGTTCTGAGTGGCACAGCACCAAGCTTCTGGGGGCGAGGCAAGAGCTGTCCCTGGTTCTGGGGACAGTTCAGAGCAGCGCAGAGCTCGAGGTTGCCCCCAGAGCTGGAGACAAATCCTGCCCCACCTCCTGGAGCTGAGGCCTAACTCCCTGTGCCCCCTGCCAGGGGGAAGAGCAAGGCAGGAACAGCCCTGGACTAAGCTGCTCCTGTTGGGCTCAATTTGGTTCCAACCTAGAAGCATATGTAGACATGTTCCTGAGCCCAGTTCAATGCACCTGAATTTTCTGCACAGAAAATTATGTGGTGGCATTAGAACAGGTTGGCTAATAAACTGGTTCTAAACGTCTAGTGTAGATAAAGACAAGTAGTCCTCTTTGATGATTATGTGCTAAGCTGGTTGACCTAAGGTCTTCTAGGGGGAACCAAGAGTAGTATGAGTTAGTGTGGATGAGTTAGTGTGCACTAGAGTTCCCTAAACATGAATTTTTACATTCTTATGATGCTACAGCACTTTTTGAACTTTTTAAAAGCAAACCCTGCAAAACTGCCTACCCCCCATTCCATAATGATTGTTGATCTTGACAGACGATCAAGTCTGAGCTCTCCATGTGTAGATGAAAGAGAGCTGATGATTGGATGAAGGGACTTAAAAATCATAATTCATTTTCTGCATTGAGCTATTGGGTCCCAAAAAGGTTACAAACTCAACTGTTTCCTTGGGATTTTGGAGACTTATGAGTTGAGGGCTAGAGTTATGGACTGTCTTATATTTGCAATTGGGTATTGATTATTTTCCAGATAGATGGAATTTTATTAGTAGATGTTTAGGATTGTGAATCCAAAAAAGATGACAAAGCCAGTAGGGAAATACAAATCGCCCGAGCGAGGGACTAACATTAGAGGGATGGGGGTGAGGACGGGAACACAACTAGGTTACAGAAAATACAGTGTTAGCCAACTAATTATGAATGTTAAACTGTAAAAGCTTAAATAAGCACCCATCCAATTCTCTTAGACTTTATTTCACAAAGTGAAATAATAATAATAATAAATCATGATGGAAGGCCCTTGAGTTCAACTATTAAGACTTTCACAGCAGTTTGAGGAGAATTATGTCTTCATCAGAGGCTAAGAGAGTAAAAGCCACTGGGATGCTGTTAAGTTATCATTGACAAAGATGATTTATTGCTAAGGCTCCTAAAATTAATCTGGGAGAAAAAGCTTAAGAAATGGACTAGATTGTCCTGAAAGGACCCTATATTCAGAACAAAACTATTACGGAATTAGAACTGCCACTCTCTCTGTAAACCTATCTACAAATATTTAACATTTTCAGTTACGTGAGTTGACCCCTATAATGTGTTTTGCATACAGGCAGTATATTTTTGGAACAAAAATGTAAGATCCCTCTTCCTCCCCAGAGTGTGGTGAAGTAGGGGAAAAAATCAGGAACCATTATTCATTTTTGATTTTATGTTTTTAATATGGATGTAGTATTATCGTATATGCACTGTTTTTTTTTAATTGCACTTCAAATATTACTGGATATTCCTGGTGCCCATTGTAACACTCAAGGTGAAAATCTTTTTGAGACATTTGGAAACCAATCAGGGTCTGTTTGCTTTCAGCTCGATGACTCATTAAATCAGATTCGAAAGCTACAGCAATCTCTAGATGAGCAAACAGAAGCCAACAACAATCTACAGGTTCATCTTAATCATTTGAAAAGTAGGTAAGTGATGGACACATTTAACACTTTGAGTCTGGATGGTGATATTAAGGAAGGGCTATCAGGTGGAAATGTAATTTTGCATTGAAATTTGGGGGGAGTGGAGTGGGTGCCAAGGCACATGGTTGACAGCTCAGTGGTTACAAGTTCAAGGCCATATCAGATTCCAACAAATCTGTAAGTTCTGCTAAATACCTTCTCGAAAGGACATAAAAAAGGAAATGATTGACATTTTTCACATTTTATATCTATGGATATTTGAACCTATTGCTTTTGATGATTTTGTTCTATGCTTTATTTCAAAGGAATGTATTTTGTACATAATGTATTTTGTTTTGTTTTCTAATTAGTCTGTATTAGAATGGATTAAATCATACTGTAAAGAAGTAAAGAATCAGGCGACACTATATTCTGTAGCCTGTTGAGGGCAATATCCAATTGAAATACCCAGTGGTATGCCAGGCACATTCACTGGCACAGTGTGATTTCCAACATCCAGAAGTTTACTTTCTACTCCACCCACAAGCAGGACATACATCTGGTGTCAGCCAGCTCTTCTGGTCCTTGCTTTCTTTCCAGTCGTCTCCCCTCCTTCACATGCTTAGTAGGGCTGTGTGAAACAGCTATGTTTTGTTTCAGTTTTGGACTTGGCATTTTGGAGGGATAGTGATTCATTTCAGTATTTCGGATCGCTCTCCCATTTTGATTTGGCTGAATCTATTTCAGAGTTTCTACGCTGTTTTGGCTATAGGCTATATTGGGAAATCACAAAACTACCTTTAACTTTGTCATTTCTTGCCTGATTCAAGTGGAAATTGAAGAGATGGTAGCCCCTTCTG